TTTCTTCAAGAGATTTCAGATCCCTTCTAGTGTCTTCACCACCATCTCTATTGGTTCTATCAAACTCATCATTGTAAATTGAGTCACTTTTGGTCATATTCTCCACAAGCTATAAAGCTTCAGCTTCAGTTCTTCCTAAGAAAAAACCCTTGCTAACAGTGTCTAGCATGCTCCTATACTTTGGCAAGACTCCTCTGTAGAAGGTACTAAGCAAGCTCTCCTTACTAAAACCATGATGAGGACACTGAGTGATGAAGCCATTAAACCTCTCCAATGCTTCACCAAAGCCTTCAAGGTTCTTTTGAATGAAACCAGATATCTCATTTCTAAGCTTAGCTGTCCTTGAAGTAGAGAAGAATTTGGTGAGGAAGGCTTTCTTACATTCATCCCAAGTGGTGATAGTGTCTCTTGAAAGGCTCTTCTCCCAAGTGTGGGCTTTGTCTCCCAAAGAAAATGGGAACAACCTCAGCTTGAAAGCATCTTCAGAAACACCATTGATCTTTGTTGTCCCACATAACTTATCAAAACTATCAAGGTGGTCTAAGGGATCTTCCATGGCAAGACCATGATACTTGTTGCTTTGGATCATGTTGATAAGGCTTGACTTGATCTCATAGTTGGTGTTCTGGACAGCTGGGGCTCTAATACCCATCCTACTCCCATGGATGTGAGGCTCATCATAAGCACCAATACTCCTTCGCGGACGCTGGTTTTGGTTTGGTCTAAGGTTAGCAGCTCCTTGACCAATGCCTTCTTGAGGAAGGACAGCTTCATCTTGAGGCAAGTTGTTGTTCCTCTCCATCTCTAGCCCCAAATCTTCTAGTTGGGATAGCCTCTCTTCTTCTCTTCTACTTCTTCTCAACTCTCTCTCAAGAGCTTGGATGTCTTGAGCTTCAGATAAGAGGTTTGCAGCTCCTCTACTTCTCAGGTTCATACACCTGCAACCAATCCAAGGGATACAAAGAAGAAGAAATCAGTAACTAAAGCAAGTAAATAAGATTTAGTCTCAAGCAATGACTAAATCCCAATGTCAATAAACAACTCAGAAATGGCAACGGCGCCAAATTTGATAAGGGTTTTTTTACACCTTAGAGCAAATCAATGTAGTAAGATAAGTAGAGTGTCAATCCAATCCTGAGAGCTATTGAACAAAGAGAATGCAAGACATTGCTAAATCTAAATGCAATCAATGAGGGTTTGTTTTATAAGGTAACAAGAAACTAGCAATGTAAGTAAACAAGAGTAACTTAAGCTTTTTTTTCAAGGAGATAAGAGAACTTATGGGTAAAGGTATTGACTTTGGGTGATCAAGTTACTATCTAGGGTGAGGTTTCAAGTAATCATTCATATCCTATAGGTGTAGACACAATCCTAAGCTAGTCCTTGGTCAAGGTAAAAGCTCATTTGCTATCAATCTCTAAACACAAATGGTCATTGGTCTAAATCAAGCAAGCAATCATTGAGAACAAGTCTACTAACCATCTAAGCCTTCCTAACATGAAGTTTCCTTGGTTAAGTAAGCAAAAAGCATTATTACTTTGGTTCATGCATTTCATCATACACCTTGTGGGCAGTAAATGCCTAATGATCTAGTTTAGAAGGATTATGTCTAATCTAGCATTGGGAATAAGTAATAAGCATAGGAAAAGAGGGATCTAACACTAATCACCCTAGATCATCACTTAATCACCCTAATCACCTAACCCATAAGCTCAAAGAGAGTCTACTCACTAATCTTCATGTTTAATCTTAAACCCATGATGGATGGAAGACTAATCATGTTAGAAGAAGAGATAAACTCAAATTACTCAAGAAACAAAGATTATATTAATCAAGGATTCAACTTTCCAATGTGTTTTTGAGAGAAAAGAAGATGAGTTCTAAACTTAGGTCTCCAATGTATTTATAGAAGCCTAAAAAACGAGCATAAAAGTTGGGTCTTTTCGTCTGTAGCGACATGCTCTGGTCGCTACAGAACATAGAATTTTCTGGGGATTTTCTCGTAGCGACATGCTCTGGTCGCTACAGACTCTCTGCGCTCTTCCTAGCGACATGCTCTGGTCGCTACAGTTCTGGTCGCAACAGGGTTGATATGCCTCCAGTAGATAGATCATAACTTCTTCAATACAGCTCCAAATGACTTGAAACCACTTCCGTTAGAAAGATAACTCAATTTCCCATGTCTTCCCAAAATATAAGCTTCAAAAGATATCTTTAAGGTCTCCATCCATGTTCATCTTTAACCCTCTTTTAGATCACAATGCTTCCAAACACCTCCATTCACTCCATGGCACACTCCAATACCTAATAAGGACATATGAATGCAATATGGACGTAAAGATGTCTGAACCTTAATCTATATGATGATTTATGTACAAAATGAAATGCTAAAACTATGCAAATATGCCTCATATCAGTATGGTGACAAACCCATAATTGCATTCTAGATGGAAGTCAAGTTATTCTTAAATGTAAAAGAGAAAATATCAATCTTGCATAATCGGTAAACTATGAAAATTTAAAACATTATCGAATCCAATGAAAATAAATCTGAAATAATTAGTCGTACACTGGGAATACCTTCATTGATGTAGAGAATTGGTCAGGACCTAAATTCAGAGTGATGCTATAAACATCACAAAACCAGAATATGATATGAAGGATAAGGATAAAAAGGTGAGAGTTAATAAGGAATTAATGGAAAGAGGTGCGGTTACGGTTGTACAGATCGAGTTCTTGCAGCGATTTCGACGAGAAAGCGAGCTCTCAACCTAGGGAAGAACCAAGAATGCCCTAAAATTAGTGGGCATGTAACTTAGTTGCTTACTAAACCCAGCCCAAATTCTAAAATTAAACCAGGAAAACCAACGTACTACAAATCGATATGGGAAGACTTAATTTTGTCCGGTTTGATTTCAATGTCATTGCTGACGTGGTTTTTTTGGCCCCACCCTTTGATACTGATGTGAAAGCTTAAGAAGTGAGGAAAGTCATCTTTATTGTATAAGATACTAGGGTAAACCCGCCCTACGGGCGGGTGATTAAATAAACTAATAACAACATTTTCTTTTAAATATTTAATTTATTTTTAATTAAAAGTATCAACTTGCTTATTTATTTTACAACAATTTTAGTAATTATTTTAATATTTATTTTAGAAATTATATACTTTTCTAACAATAATAATATATTTTAAAATGTAACTATTTACTTTTGCTAATATTTATTTTAGTTTAACTATATTAAGAAGTTGCAAAACATTTACTTTATTTTCCCTGATTAGATAGAAGTTAGGTTTTCCAAATAACCTATTTGAGCTTTTGTTTAATGTATTTTCTAGGTCAAATGTAATTAAACTTTAGTATTTGGAATCCTCTATATAGTCCATTTACAAAGAATCAAATAAAATCAATATATTCAAATTTAGACTGCTTACATGTTGCAAGGAGAGAATTTTTTTTTTTTTTTTTTTTTTTTGCAAGGAGAGAAATTATTTAGTGAGGTGTCATTGCGCAGGATTTTCATAAGTTTTTCTTAGTATTGTCTATCACTGCTATTATTTAAATTTATGTTCTCTTTCTTAAATTTGTTTATTGCATAAAAAAATTCATTATTTTAAACATTTTTTAGTTTAAAATATTTTGTTATATTATGAGTGTCTTAACTATTTTATACTTCTCGTCAAACTTGTTTATTGTCAAAAAAATTTTTTGTTAACCTTATCTAGTGTGAAAAGCTTAGTTATATTATATATATTTATCTTTATTTTTTCATTCATCTGATCATTTTTCTACAATGATTAAACTAACATGTATATAGTAAAACCGTGTTAATTCCAATTAATTAATATGTATCTTCTTTGTTTTCTTTTCATGTAGTTTTAGTATTGTAAAATTTAACAATGGATGGATGAGAAAATGAACAAATAGAAACACATCTTTAATTTGATTAAGCATTTTAAAATGTTGACTTGAATGATAATTTTGTCGTCAGATGATGGAGACGAACCTATATATACACGTTCTTAGACCGCCTCGCAGAAGATAAGAGGTTAGTGAGTTGAGACGTGTGGGAGTAGTAATTGCTGCTATCAGTGCGTAATGGAGATTCATCCCAACCGGGAAAGATGAATTGCCAAGAAGAAAGGATTCGAAACAAGATTGATGGCGACTACGGTGAAGTTTGATGAAGAACCCCAATTGGGGAGGAAGAAAGAGTGGAGACGTCAATACACAGACGACGGACCAGGAACAAATAACACTGGGCCATAAACAATTTAAGCCCATAACCGAAGCGCTTTCCCCGAGTGAACAAATAAATCGAACGCACCGTTTTACCGGATTTGACACGTGTCGCCTTACGGATGAGCGATTATCTGACGTGGCAGAACTGTAGGGAAGAGAAGTTTACAACGAAACTAAAAGACAAATATCCTAAATGTTTAGGGTGTCCACGTAGACAAAGAATTTCACCCAATCACATAAACTTAAATCACAACGTATGAAAGGACATAAATTAGGAGTTGGGCCTTTTTTGGATTTACTTGGGATGGGTTAAAGATTTGCAAAGCTAAGATCCAATGTCATTTACCTTGCTAAGATAAAACAGCGTGATCTTTCCACTTTGCCTTCCTCGAGACTCCGTTATCTATCCCAAAAATAGCCAAAAAAAGTTAGTCTTCTCCATCAAATAAATAAAAGAGAAAATTAGGAAAAAGAGACACTCTCAACTTAGACTTGTTTTAATAGAATTTTTAGAGGATTATTTAGAGAAATAGGATTTAGATTAATGTTAATATCATTATACCCTTAAATTACTCTTTTTTTTATAATTGCACATAATAAATAAAATATTTCATAATTGATTTAATATTAAAATGAAAAAAGTAAAAAACTAAAGGAATTAAAAACCACGAGAGAAGTAACCTAATTTTTTCTTCACTTTACTCCTCTTCTCAGCCGTAACCTCAACTTGTATCAATGGTGATTAGGGTTATGCCTCTTGAATTTCTTGATTGTTATGACTTGTAAGTCGTTAGCTCAGATGATAGAGCACCACATATTTGTCGTAAAAACCGGTTTGACTCCGATAGCAGCTTCCTATGGAGATCTCTTCTTCACACGGTTAAAATCTGCCGTCTCTCTTGTTGTTTCATCTTCTATGTTTTTTCTTGTCTTTTCTATGTTTGACATGGGTTTCACGAAAAAATTGATTTTCATCAATACGATTGACATGGGTTTCAAGTTAAAGCTTTTCTTGAAAAACGTAAGTTTTAATGTGACCTATACGAGTGAATCTGTGGTATCGTCATGTAGTAATCTGAAGTCACCTATATAAGTATACTGATATCATAAAACCCTTCCTTTTGTTGACGGATAATGCTGTAGAGTCCTTAGATATATAACCTCGGTGAGTAATCTCCGTAGTAAGATGCTAACTTTTAACATGTGAGTCGTATTATAGCTGCTATACGAGAGTCTCGATCTCAGGATTTTTAAAAAATGTGATAATCAACACTGAAAAGTAAGGAAGAAGACAAGTGTTGTTAAGAAGTGCTACTTTGGTGTGTGTGTTTAATTAAATTTTCTGTTTTTGTTTCAGGTTAAAGTCTCATTTTGAAGTAAATCCAAGAGACTTGGATCTGTTGAAACATGACAAGCTTCTAAGTAAGACTGCGCCTGAAACGCATCTAAAGGAAATTCCTGAGTATTTAGTGGACCCAAAGACTCAAGAGACGTGCATATAAGTTATTCTTCTTGGACCTAGGTGTGTGTATGGTCTATACTTGCATATTGCAGAGTGTTTCTTTACCTCATATGGAGGCTTGAGAAGCTGAGTATCCATTGAATGAGTTAAAGCTTGGACTGAGGGGACAGTTCAGATCAGGCGTGCGGGTGTGCCTTTCAAGGTGAATTCCGAGACTAAGAAAGAAGGTGCAATGCCTAGATTCTGCAGCGTCCAGAATTGGTCTCAGAAATTCTAAGAGGCGACATATGATTTTAGCTGAGTTTTTGTTCTTACATTGTTGGACTATTTGGCTGTGTTTCAAAGATTTAAAGTTTCATCGTATCACTCTTTCTCATACTGGCCCTTCTATAAAGTAAGAACTTTATGGTCCAATTATTGCTGCAGATGTGCTAGGTGACATGAAGCTACAAATAAAAGACTTCTATAAACTGAGATAATAATACTACTTAGCAATGCGGATAAGAATATATATCACTATGCTCGTTACTTAGTCCTATATCCATTGTGATTATAAGTTGTTTTTATAACTTTGATAGTCCTTGTGCCCTAGTGGTTAAATGCCTTGTGAAGTTGTCTATGGTGGAGGGTTCAAACAACAATTCTGCACTTTTTATAACTTTTCTCAACTTTTAATTAATTCAAATATCGTAACTTTTCTCAACTTTTAATTAATTCAAATATCGTGAGAGAGAATATATTTTTAGAGATTTGGGTAGATTTAATCTATCTAGATTTAGGAAATATATTTATCGAAATATGGAATTTTCCATATTTTTTTTATTTAGTTATAACATGTATTCTACGTACAGCAGAGCAGTGAAGATAATGTGGGAGGTTTATTCTATCTTACGCGTATGATAATATAAAAGGAAATGTGGGAGGTTTATTCTATCTTATGCGTATGACTAGGTGATTTTCCCGTGCTCATGCACGAATATGAATATTCATAAAAGTAAAATTTTATAATAATTAATTGATATTTAGTTTTAGTTTTGAATCTATTAATATATATAATTTATATTAATAAGTATTATATTATTCTAATTATACATATGACTTTGGATATATTTTTTTTTGGTGTAATTATTTTTGGGATCAATAGTTGGTTTGATTATCAATTTGGTATATTGGATAATATCTATTTTTCGAATTCAGCTACACTATTTTTTATTCTAAATATAATAAAACTTTGATTAATTTCCTTATTTTCATTTCGGTTGGTTATTGTCTTTAGATATGTAACTATATTCTTAGATATGTAAATATATTATAGTTAAATTGTGTATAACTTAATATATATTGTGCTAAAATGAAATAAATAAGTGATTGGTATTTAGTTTTAGTTTTTAATCAATTTATATGTGTAATTTATATTAATAAATATTATATTATTCTAATTATACATATGACTTTGGATATATTACTGTCGGTTTAATTTTTTTTTTTTGATCAATAGTCGGTTTGGTTATCAATTTTGTATATTGGATAATATTTATTTTTTGAATTCAGCTATAATATTTTTTATTCTAAATATAATAAAACTTTGATTAATTTTCTTATTTTCATTTCGGTTGGTTATTATCTTTATATATGTAAATATATTCTTAGATATGTAAATATATTATAGTTAAATTATGTATAACTAAATATATATATATATATATATATATATTGTGCTTAAAATGAAATAAATAATAAGCTATCAAAGTTATATATATATATTTCCTTTTTTTTTATTTAGTTATAACATGTATTCTACGTACAGCAGAGCAGTGAAGATAATGTGGGAGGTTTATTCTATCTTACGCGTATGATAATATAAAAGGAAATGTGGGAGGTTTATTCTATCTTATGCGTATGACTAGGTGATTTTCCCGTGCTCATGCACGAATATGAATATTCATAAAAGTAAAATTTTATAATAATTAATTGATATTTAGTTTTAGTTTTGAATCTATTAATATATATAATTTATATTAATAAGTATTATATTATTCTAATTATACATATGACTTTGGATATATTTTTTTTTGGTGTAATTATTTTTGGGATCAATAGTTGGTTTGATTATCAATTTGGTATATTGGATAATATCTATTTTTCGAATTCAGCTACACTATTTTTTATTCTAAATATAATAAAACTTTGATTAATTTTCTTATTTTCATTTCGGTTGGTTATTGTCTTTAGATATGTAACTATATTCTTAGATATGTAAATATATTATAGTTAAATTGTGTATAACTTAATATATATTGTGCTAAAATGAAATAAATAAGTGATTGGTATTTAGTTTTAGTTTTTAATCAATTTATATGTGTAATTTATATTAATAAATATTATATTATTCTAATTATACATATGACTTTGGATATATTACTGTCGGTTTAATTTTTTTTTTTTTGATCAATAGTCGGTTTGGTTATCAATTTTGTATATTGGATAATATTTATTTTTTGAATTCAACTATAATATTTTTTATTTCAAATATAATAAAACTTTGATTAATTTTCTTATTTTCATTTCGGTTGGTTATTATCTTTATATATGTAAATATATTCTTAGATATGTAAATATATTATAGTTAAATTATGTATAACTAAATATATATATATATATATATTGTGCTTAAAATGAAATAAATAATAAGCTGAAGTGTTTAAATCGAAATTACATAAATGAATATAATGATAATATTTTCAAGTCTCATGCATATATATATATATATAAATTCTAAAAAGAATTAAATTGCAATTGGTTAATATTTTCTTTTGATTTTTATTATGCTTTGATTCAACCTCTAATTTATATGTATAAAACTAAATAGATTATTAATATTATTATTATTATTATTATAAAATTATATGTTCTTATTGTAGTTAGTTGATTAATTTTGAATATATATTAGATTAGTCGAGTCATTAATTTTGTGAGTATATTGAATATAATATATTTTTAAATTAAAATTTGAAGAATAATTACTTTTTATTTTAGTTAAAGTCAGATCAAATTAGTTTTATTTATCGCTTAAATATACATGTATTTTCATACTATTTATTTACTATTTATTCTAGTTAAATCAAATCAAATTAGTGTTATTTATCGCTTAAATAAACTGTATTTTCATAATATTTATCAAATTAGATGTTGATTTTTAAAAAATATTAGAAAATAAAGTGCAACTAATAAGTTTTTGGATATTCATGAACATATATATTTTTATTATTTTGAAAATATATTTTATGTTATTTTAAAATATATATTAATGGGGTATTACTATTTTGTGAATTTTCCTTTTTAATAAAATCATATTATATACATATATTTTCGTTTTTAATTTTTTTTTTAAAAAATTAGAAATATTTCCTTTTTATTGTATATGTTATTTGGAAAAAAGGTAAAAAAAAACTAAATAAAAATAATAATTTTAAAATCTAACAAATCATTAAGGGTACATATGTAATCAACCATCACGAGAGTTAACGTGAGCGCGACACGTAGGAAACTGACTTCTCAAATAATATTATAGAGATAATATAAAAGGCAGAACATGTTATAACAGATAAACAAAACATGGTACTGCATAGAATCGCGGTTATAAGTCGTAATTATTCTTAAAGTAGACTAAAGATATCTTGTTAGAATATCACATGACGAAATCTAGATAAGATAGAATACAGAAGAAAAATTTGTTTGTATTCTATAACTAAGATAGATCTATATGTAGACCTTAGTATCTGATTTCTAGATAAAATAGATAGTTAGAAGGAGTATTCTATCCATGCTATAACATAAAATAAAACATGACTCCACTATTTTTTTTAAAAAAAATTAAACATATAAATACCTCATACTAATGTTTCCAATGTTTTTCATATTTTTTTTTTATATTTTTAAAACTTAATTTACTATTTTTTCAATTACAGAAGAGTAATACATGTCCATACTATGAAAAAATATCAAAAGTTCTATTTAACCAAACAAATATTAAAATTAGGGCTGGGCATTCGGGGTCCCAATCGGGTTTCGGTTCGGGTTCATTCGGGTTTCGGGTTTTCGGGTTCATGAATTTCAGCCCCATTCGGATATTATAAAAATTCGGGTCGGATTCGGTTCGGGTTTAATCGGGTTCGGTTCGGATTTAGTAACATGTCCAAAATCCAATTGAACCCGTGATAGTTTCGGTTTCGGACACTTATTGGGTTATCGATTCTAAAAATACCAATTTATACTCAATTAAATTCAATATATTTTCAATCTTTTTATTAAATTGTGTATTTAGCTTCTACAAACTGTATTGTTCTGCTTCTAAATAATATTATGAAACTCATCTATCAACAATATAAGATTTGTCATTGAACTATATGTGACAACACTAAACATATCATGATTAATGATAGACCAAAGTCTTGTATGAACGAAAATCATACATAATGAAACATAAAACGTTAAAATTAACAGCTAACAATTATATAAACGTAAGAAGTAATTTTGAAAATTAAAAAACAACATTATTTAAACTTCAAAACAAATTTATTCGTAACTTAACTTCAAATGTAGTGTCAATCATAAACATTAGTAACAGCCAAATAACACAATATATTAGACTAAATATTTGAGTTAATTATTCATATCATAACTAATTATTATAGGTATTCAATAATATATTAATGTGTTTTGGAAACATATTAGAAATTTAGATTAAGTATGATATAAGGTTTTTTGGAATTTTAAAGTTTCGGGTTCTTTCGGATATCCATTTAAGTTCGGATTTGGTTCGGATAAAACTCATAACCCGAAATACCGTAAAACAAGATCCATTCGGTATCGGTTCGGATTCCTTTTTATCGGGTCGGGTTCGGTTCAGATTTTTGGGTTTCGGTTTTTTTGCCCAGCCCTAATTGAAATAGTCTCTTTTTCCAATTCTCCCTAAATAAAATTGATGTAATCCTTTCAACTTCCGTAGGAATCGGGATAGTCTATCCCAAAACACCTCCTCTTAGAGAACACTTTCACCGGAGAAGAAGAGGCTGATTAATTGACTGATTTTCGTGTTCTTTTTCATCCTGAGAAGAAGAAGTTACCGACTTACCGTGACTAAAACTATAATTCTTAAAGATTCCGATTCCACACTATTAATTTCAATTTCTCTTTCGTCTGTAGTAATGCATCTCTCTCTTACATGGCAGGATACTGAGAATGCTATCTGTGATGATGATGATATCAGGGCTGTGTCTTTTGTTGGTTCAAACACTGTAAGTTTATATATATATTTTTGTTACTCTTTTTAAGTCTGCTGAAAGTGGTTTT